GCTGCTATAACAACTAATGTATTTCCTCTTTTTGCTCATCCCTTTACACCCCCATGAACATTTACTGAGTACCTGCCATGGGTCGGAGCATGCCATGCTGTCATGGTGCTAAATAACCTGCCCTCGAGAACCCAACAGCCAGTGGGGGAAGCAGGGGGGTACATGGATACCAAAGTGTCTGGGGAGCACAGAGGATGGAACAGAACTTGTGCTTGTCAAGGGACTGGGTCAAGGAAAGTTCTGAGAAGAGTTGCTCTTGCAGGAAGAGAAGATAAGGACAAGGACACTCCAGGCAAATAGAAGCTGTACAAAGGCACTGCAGCATGAGCAACTAGACCTGTCTGGGGATATCATGGGTAATGTGGGGTGACCAGAGCTCAGGACATATGAGAAAAAGGATTAGAAATATGCCTGGAGAGATGAAAAGGCTTCAGATGATGAGCTCTGGGAGGTCATCTGGGTTTCTCACTCTTGGTTTGATGGGCACTGGGGAGCTTTGATGGGTCTTATCCAATAGGGTATGGTCCATTGCATTTTAAGCTAAAGTTACTCTTCTTTTCCACTCTAATTTCATCTCTAATTGTGCTCCTGTGGTTTTCTTTTTCTCTAGGAATAGAGGGAGATATTTGTGCTGATTATTGAGAATACATATTTTTCTGATATATATATTTCTGAATAAATGTGTCATAAAACCTCCACTCTTTTTTTTTTCATTTTTCTTTTATTATTCATATGTGCATACAAGGCTTGGTTCATTTCTCCCCCCTGCCCCCACCCCCTCCCTTACCACCCACTCCACCCCCTTCTTCTCCCCCCACTCAATACCCAGCAGAAACTATTTTGCCCTTATTTCTAATTTTGTTGTAGAGAGAGTATAAGCAATAATAGGAAGGAACAAGGGTTTTTGCTGGTTGAGATAAGGATAGCTATACAGGGAGTTGACTCACATTAATTTCCTGTGCATGGGTGTTACCTTCTAGGTTAATTCTTTTTGATCTAACCTTTTCTCTAGTACCTGTTCCCCTTTTCCTATTGGCCTCAGTTGCTTTAAGGTATCTGCTTTAGTTTCTCTGCATTAAGGGCAACAAATGCTAGCTAGTTTTTTAGGTGTCTTACCTATCCTCACCCCTCCCTTGTGTGCTAAAGCTTTTATCATGTGCTCATAGTCTAATCCCCTTGTTGTGTAAAACCTCCACTCTTAAGTAGGTGTGAATGTATCTCTAAAAATCTCCAGAATCTCAAAGTGCACAAAGGAGTGAGTGGAAAAGAAGTGTCAGAGCACAGGCACTATTACTGGCTGCTAAGTTCACACTGCTGTGTACCCCACTGCTGCATTAACTAGGTGTGCAGGAGCACTGCTTATTTCCTGGTGGGCAGCTCCTCCTCTGTAAGCGGTCAGTGTACCTACGAAGAGATGTGTTCCCTTATTTGCATTCTTTCTTCTGCTGGTAACTGTTAGTACCCATGGTTGACACCTTTTGCAGTTGTCTAGTAAAAACTCACCTTCAAGCATGAAAATCACTTCCACTTATTGAAAACCTACAGTCTTTCCTGTAGGGTTTTCTAAATTCCTGCTTTGTATCTATGTGCCTACATACTAAACCAAATCCATGGAAATTTTCTGAGATAATATACAAAGTGAAGCATATTAAAATCCAATATTACTTGAGAAATGTAATGGTAATTCATTGTTAGCTTTAAATGTTTCTATTTTAAAAATTTAATTGATACATAGTAATTGTACCTATTTATGGGGAGCAGTGTGACATTTCACTGCATGTACACAATGTGTAATGATCAGATGGGATAACTGCTATACGTATCATCTCAGATATTTATCATTTCTCACTGTTAGCTTTAAATTGACCCAGCATTCACTATGAGTGCTTTCCCTCAAATTATCTCCTTAATCCTCATAATTCTCCTATAATATCGACAGCATATTCCCCATTTCATAATTAAATGAACTGATATTCAGAGAGGTGAAACAGCTCATCCAGGACACACAGCTATAAGCAGTGAAGCCGTAAAGACAAGGTAATTGTCCCCATCCTAACCCTGAACCTCTTTTCTACTAGTCCTCATGTTCCTTGGCATGGATTACTTTACCACTTCCTGAGCAGAGAGCAGAGGGAGGATGAATGGGATAGAATAAGTAAGCTTGGAGATTGGAGGGGCATGGCCACAAGGCCTGGATTTGGAAGGATGGAATGGATGACCCCAGTCAACAAGCCCAGAAGCTAGGAGCAAGGAGAGGGCAGTGGGAACATAGAAAGAGGAGACAAGACAAGAGGTACCTTGGTGACCTATAGTAAAAGTGCCAGATTTTTCTACAACTTGACACCCAGATTATTTTCTTTCTTTCTTTTCTGTTTTTATTATTATTATTATTATTAAGGAACTTGCTCTGAATGAGATGGTTGAGGCCAATGCAGGTCACAAAGTAATCAGGAAGGGTATTCATAGTGAATGAGCCAGAAGCACAGGAGCTGCATTTGGGGGTCAACAATCCCCAGCTTCCCTTGGCAGAGAGAAAGGCTGTGGTTTCCATCCCTGCTCTCTGGGTGAAGTAACAAAGTGCTCCAAGGAAGAAACCTCATTCTCAAGAATAGGTTTTAAGACCATCAAAATTGGAGCATTTGACAGCAGGTCCTCTGGGGACACTGTATGGGGTCCAACCAGTTCTTACAAACCACAGGTAACCCAGGGCCTTTCAGCAGCTGCTCAGATATCCACCATCATTTGCATTCAGTGTGTGATGATCAAAGGCAGCCAGCAGGGGAAATTATGCCAATTGGTCTGAGGGACCCTGGGCAGACAGGAGGAGCCCTTACCTTGGCAAGGAAGACCACAAGTGGCGGTGTACACTTGGCTTTCAGCATTGATTACCAAAATCACTTCCTGATTTCTGTGTTCTTCTTCTGACCTTGTGCAGTAAGGACTCACCCATCAAGTGTGAAACACCTACCACATGCCAGGTACTGCCATGATATACCACAACAAAGGACATGGTCTCATCTCCCTTTTTCAGCTGAGCAATCTCATCCCTGGAAATGGTAAGGGACTTCCTGGGTGGTGTATGGCTGAGTCAGTGACAATGCCATCCACCAAAGCCTGAGGATACCAGATTTTCACCATCTTTGGAATGGCTGTGAGTAGGACTGCCTGGCTCACGTGTAACATTATGGCCATGAAACTCACATCCAGTCTTAGACTAGAAAAATCTCCATATCCTAAGACTTTCCAGACCTGCTCACATCTACACATCTAGTCTAGAAAGTTCTTAGGAGGCCCAGAGCCAGTAGCAAATGCTCCTATGCATGCTATCAGAAGATTCTTCCCCAATTCCTGGGGTTTGCCAGGCACATGGAAGGTACTCAGCAAATGCTGCCTCTTTTTTTCCATACCATACACACTACATCCTGCCCTGCATCTACTCCTGGAGCCTAAGAGTTGTCTCAAAGCCTGGCCTGGGGTTCGGGTTGATCACACTTCTGCTAGAAATAGATTTTACTATTAGTTTACTTCCTGCCAGGTAGGCTGCTTGTAGTTTAGAGACATCATCTACCTGAGTCCTTCCAGCAGATACTATCATTATCCCAATATAAACCAGGAAACAGAAGGGAGAAAGTTTATGTCACTGGTCTGATTCATTACTCAAAAGTAAATGGTAGATATGAGATTCAAACATGAGCTTTTTGGTCTTAACTATACCATTTTTTTCCCTGTCTCCTCAGGAAGCCTGTGGAACTTCTAAGGGCCTCAACCTTGTGATGGTCCTAATGACCCCAAAGTTTCCCCTGGCCACTGTCTCAGGGACCTTAAGCAGCAGCACTTTATCTGCAGAGGAAGTCGCAGACTTCTGGGTGGTCCAGGATATCCAAAGATACCCATGACATTCACTAGCCCAACCTGTGCTAGGGCATAATGGGGCAAAGACTCTAGTCTGTTTGGGAATTTTAATCCCACTGACATTTGTAAGACTTACGCTTGTCAAAGTAATGTCCAAAACATTAAAAAATTGGTACTTCCTATACCCCAGAATGAACATAATTCTAGAAATTTCTGTTGAAAATCTATTCTTAAAAGAAATGCTACCAATTTGGATAGTTTCCATAATATTTCCAAGTCTGTAACAAGCTTTCCTCTACACCTAGGCAGAGAAAGAAAAAATCACATGATTCCCTAGGCTAGAGAACTTTGACCCTGTCCTCTGATCTTATCTGAGAGTGACATATGACTTTGCCATATCCTATTTTAGAATAAAGCATTGAGATCTTTTCTTTTTCTCTGATCTTTTTCAGATTTCTTTTTTCTAGGAAAAAATACTGTTCAGTTCTCACCTTTAAAAGAATTCAGCCAGAAAAACCAGTCTCTTAAAAATGAACCAGTCATCCACAGGTGGGAAGTATAAAAGCATTTAGACATTCTAGGGGAAACTAAGATGCACTACTGGCCAGCCAAGTAAATATGAGTTGGCTGATTCTATCATTTCTTTGCAATGATTTGATTTAAAATCCAGTCCTGCTGACTTACCAATTATTTTCTGCATACCAAACAGAAGATGGAGAACACTTGGCCCTTTAAGGGATAATCCAACTTCTCCAAAAGAAAGCCCCTATTTGACCAGAATATTCTTTGACAGCAAAAAGGGGCCCAGCCTCCCCATATAAAGCTGTTTAAAAAGAAACTAAATAAGTTTTGAAAATAATTCTATATTATATATCATAACTTACTATAAGTACTCTACATTATAAGTATAATTTCTATACAATGCAGGCACTGTGGATCAGGTTGCTATGAGGCTGAGTGATGGTGGTGAATTTTTTCTTCTTCAGTTTTAGTGTTCATTTAGTTTTGTTTTGCAAGAATGAAAGGGGGAGGGCCTCTCTACCAACTCAACCGAACAATTCCGGCAAACTTCAAGGTTCATGTGGTTTATGGTCACTGACTTTAGTCAGGGAGCCCGGAAGTGCTGCTGCTGCTATGCAACTTGGCTTTTTTCCTTTTCTCTGCAATTTTTAGCTCAGAAGATCTGCTCGCCGAGGGCTTCCTCCAGCTCTTCCCAGACCCAAGCCTGTGACTCTCTTAGGGTCTCTAGATAGCCAGTGGTGGGGCTGTGTGTTGTGTGTGGTTTTTATTTGCTTCACACACTCTGTGAGAGTGTGTGCTGGGGACGTGATCGAGAGAGAAGAGGAGGAGAAACGGATTGATTCTGTGGATTGAGCATTGGCATCCTTTAGCCACCTCTACAACCAGCTCTTGATGCATAGCGCCAAGATGAAGTCTCCCTGGAAAGTCCCTACAGTGTTCCCTCTGTTTTTTCTCCTGTTCTTTCACTCTTCTGCCTTTCTAGCCTATGATGACCAGAAGGGCACCAGTCACCCCAATGGCCACAGCTGTCTAGGTATGTAAATATTTTTGTATTTTGTATGTAAATATAGCAGTGAGGTCTAAATCTTTGCTTGCACAATAAATCACTTGATGAATGACATGAATAGGTTAAGATTCCAAGTAAAAGACCAATAACCTCACAGACATAGAAAAACATTGTGTTTACGAATGAGCATTCACACTACATGAATAAATGCCTGTATAGCAGTGCTATCTACGGTTTCTTGTTTGAATTAGTCCTAAAGTCCTCTACTTCATTTGTGATCAGAACTCTTTTCTCTTGGATCAGCAATTGTAACAGCCTGAATTTCTTGCTCTTTTTCATTGGCTTTGACCTCAGACATCTGAGTTGGAATCACTGCCCACCTCCATCCCCCTTGCTCATCCCTACTGACTATAACCCACTCCATGCCTCTGTGTCCTTATTAGTGAAATAAGGTTAATAATACCTACTTTGTAGGGATACTGTGAGACCTGAGATCATGCATACAGGTTGTGGTATTTGCATACAGTAAGGACTCAGCCATCTTAGCTGCCTTCATTCTTTCAGTAAATCTAGACTTGGAGGTCAACTAGGAATTTGGAATGCTTACTGAGATACAGCTGCTTGACTTACCTTTTGTTGAGTGTTTTATTTCTAAGTTGTTTTATATTTTTGGGGTTTACTTTTTGCTATTTTTTCATTTTGTTTTGTGTTTTCTTTTTCTTTTGGAGGAGAGTAGGAAGTAGGGTAAGACGTTTGATGGTGATAGTCTATGTGGAACTTCCATAACAGTGGTGAGCTTTTAGGTGGGTCAGTCCATACAGCCACATAGACTCAGAACTGAGTAGCAGTTGTTCAATATGCAGGCCTCAAAGTAGAATCCTGGCTTGAAAGAGCCCTCAGGTATGTACAGTGGTCACAGGCCCATACAGTCCACCCTTATGAATTGTTTCTAGGTTGACTTCTGGTGTACATTTTGTGGCCCCCATTGATTCTAGTCACCCTAAATGCATGCTCTATAACCAGGCATCCTTATGGATGCATTGTCTCTTTAAATAAATGGCTTTCAAAATTTGGTGTGTGGGCAGGGCCCCTAATCTTGGAAGTCCAGAAATACACTTGCCCCGTAGATTCTCTTATACTCTACCTCATGTCTTTGGCGATGAGTAACAAATAGTGATATGATCATGTGAAATCCCAAGTCAAGGAAGGAAAGGGGTCACATCCCACAAAACATATAAAGAGTCAATACATGATTCAGGAATGGTAAGTAAGGTCTCAGTAAGTGTTGGGAACCCCTCACTATTCTAGAAAAACAGGAAGTATTGGTGTTTGGTTGACACAGAGGCCAAGCTGGGAAGGAGACACAACACAGGCTTGAAAGAAAGTGGAAAGGCAGGAAACCAGAGGCATCCTCTAGGCAGCAGAGGGGGTGAGAATAGGGCTTACTCCTTTTGCAACACCAAAATGTTGCCACTTACTGGGGTGCTCCAGATATTCCTCAGTTCTTGAGTACAATGTCTAACATTAGGACATTCTCCCACATGCAGCAAAAGAACCATCAATAGTACAAAAATAACAAAGAGTGATTTATTAGGAAAGCAAAAGCACACCTCGAGGTGTGAGAGATGCAATTGAGAATTAACTGTCAGAACAGGGGGGCTGGAGAAGTGCCAAAATGCACCAGTCAGAGCCAATTTCTATTGACTACTTTCTCTTCTGATTATGGGTCTTTATTTTCTGCTTTTGCTGCATGTCTAGTAATTTTTATTGAAAACTGGATAGTTTTAGATAATAGATTTAGCAACTCCAGATCCTAGTCTATTTTTCTGAGTGTCACTGACACTTCTTTTCTTGTAACTTTTCTGGCTTCCACTGTAGATGTGTTTCCCCCACAATGTAAAACCTCTGATGTCTTGGCACATTTTTTTAGCCTGGTATGCTTGGATCACTCCCATATCTGTGTAGCTGAGAGTTACTCAACCACTGGGCATGATTGTGCTGAAGCATGTCAAGCTTGTAACACCACACTCTGTTGTGTGTTGGGGATGGGGATTGGTCAATGCATTCAAGTTTGCAGGAGGTTCCCAGGTCTGTCTTGGCTTTCATTTTTTTCTGGACTTTTTTTGGGGTCTCCCCTACACATGTATAGCTTCTCAGCTACCCAGGAACATGTAAACACCTTATCTCAGTCCTTCTATGATGCTTTTTTCCCAAATCATTTCCAGGATCTCCCTGCTAAATTTCTGGCTGATTGCCATTGCTCTATCAAGGACCAAAACTTTGAGTTAGTAAAGTTGCAGGTTCTCCTTGCGAATTCCCAAGTGAGTCCATCATTCTTATCAACAAAACCATGGATCTTTGAACTTTGGCCAAACCACGTCTATCCTATTTACAGTAGAATGGTTGGTTTTTGCAGCCAGTTCCACAATGGTAAAACCACTTTTGTCACCAAGTTGAGGACAGTGTAGATGGATCAGCTCCAGGCAAGAGGACCATTGAGTCTCACCGTTCTTTAAAAAGTTCAAGGATTTTTTTCCTGATCAAGAGTTTCACAATTTATTGTATGCTATTGGTGTTTCCAGTGCCTTGAAATGCTTGTGACAAATTTTCCAGTTTTATACTTGGTCTTTTGCACAGGAGAATCTCCCACCCCTTCACACCATCATGATTAGAATTTCCTCTTGTTATCTGTAGCAGTCTGGAGTTTTGAGGTTTTATAAATCAAATGGCAAGTTGATCTGCTCTAATTTGCATTCTCATTTTGTCAGATTGTGGAAGTTTTTTAAAAGACGGATGTTGTCTAGAGAAAAATTCAGACAGATTTGTCTTCATTCCTAGCATTAAAAAATGACTGGCTAAAGAGCTAAAGGGTATGTATGATATTGGAGCAACTTGTTTACTTTCCAAATTTGCAGTCCACAAGGAAAAGGTTGTGTGTGTGTGTGTGTGTGTGTGTGTGTGTGTACATGCTTATTCTTCATTCTAAAATTTGTTCTTAATCTGAACTTCCATTTTATGTTCATGTCCATTTGGTGAATCACTTTGGAACTAAGTCACATAAATTCTCTCTTGCAATATTATTACAATGTTTACAATGTTTAAGTTGATGGCTGTTTTTTTCTTTCTTGAGTACTTCATGTGTGGTAGACAGAATTATAAAATTGCTTCCTCCTGCTGTACATGTCTGAGTGAGGGCAGAACCTATGACTGTGATGGCTATCACTTCCATGCCTACGCTCTATTATATGACAGAGGCAAAGGGATTTTTCATATTTAATTAAGAATTCTAATCAATTTACTTTGAGTTCATCAAGATTTTTCTAGGTGGGCCTGACATAATCAGAGGATTCCTTTAAATGAAGAGTTTTCTAAGCTGGTACTGAACAAGAAAGAAAGAACCATGTTGCAAATTTCTTATGCAGAAAAGCAGCCTCTAGTCATTGAGAGTGGTCCTAGCTGAGAGCTAGCAGGCAAATGGGACTTCAGTCCTTCACTTGCAAGGAGCTGAATTCTGCCAACAACCAGTGAACTTGCAAGAGGACCCAAGTCTTAAATCAGATTGTGCTCCCAGCTGACATCTTGGTTTCAACCTTATGAAATCCTGAGCAGAGAACCCAATTATGACCAGACTTTGGATGTGCAGAAATTGCCAGATAATAAATTTTGTGTTGATTTAAGCTGATGGGTGTGTGAAAATTTATTACATAGCAATAGAAAGCTAACACACTGTGAAATCTTTCTTCATAAGTGAATCTTCCCTTAAGACTCCCAAGATTTGAGAATTTGTATTTACACAGATAGATTCTAATGTAATCATCCAGTTACTTAGGACTCTTTGCTTTATAATAGTTTAATTTTGGGATGTCTAGAGAACAATTCCAATACATTTCTCCCCAGATTTCCAAAAGAATAGATAATCACAGTCCTTTTGATGTACCTGGTATAGTTCGAAGTCTGTTATGTGTATTTACATACTTAGCTCACCCTCTTGCCCTGTGTAATTCTCACTTTTCAGATGAAGAAAGGGAGATGCAGAGGACAGAGCTAAGTCCCCAATGTCACATTTGTACACAGTAACAGAACCAGGGTTCAAGCCCAGACCATCTGACTAAGAGCCTGGGCTTAATTACTTTTGACTTCTATACCTTACTATTGCTTCACAAGAAAATGTGAAAAATTCAGAAAACAGTGGAAAGAAAATACAAATCACTGGCAATCTCACCATTCAGACATGACCACACATAATTACCGTAAACTAACACTTTCATATTCGTTCTGTCTAGGAAGGTGGCTATGTAAATAGAGAGGTGGATGCAGCATAATTTAATTGGTCGCATCTCTCTTCATCTCTTTTTTTCTCTTTTGTGTAGCACATTTACAAAAAAGAAAAAAAATACTCACACTTCATTCTTGAAGACTAGCATGCTGTCATCTTGGATGTTTTTGGTTTTGCTTACTGTGCAACCTTTCCCAAAATTATGGGCCTCCTTCCTTTTTGTGTAGTGGCTTTGTGATCTTTCTTTTCAGGGTTATGACTCTAGGGCAATCCAGGAAAAGGAAAGGTAGATGGGGTGTGGAAAGTTCAGATTATCAGAAAACTACCATTTGTGTTAAGGTTGAGATTAAATTCAGTGATAATTTAAAAGTTCAGACAGAAGGTTAAAGACAAGTGCAGAGGGTGGCAGTCAAGGACTGGCTAGAGTAGAGGTGCTCTGGCTAGACCTTGATGATGTGTAAGGCCCTGGAGGGTGCAGGTGAGTGGCAGGTCAGCAGAAGTTGCAGGGGACCCTGCAGATTGCACTCCTGAAATGAAACCATGAACTCCACAGATACCTCATCTGCAACTGTGGGAGGTGTAAGGACTGAGGACAAAGCCTAGCACAAATCCCGAGATCAGTAACACAAAATCAGGTGACATTTTTGCCTGAGATCACTCTTAGAGGGAAGGGAAGGAAAAGAAGAACTAAGGTGCCCAAAGGAAAGTAAATTTAAATACATAAATGGCAAGATGAAATGTTTTCTGCCAC